GAATTAAAAACACTGATCATTTATTGAACAGGATGGAATCGGACATCTTCTGCCTCCATTTATCTGTTTACTACAGTGTGTTGATTTCATGTTAATGTGTATTTAAAGACATTTCAATAAGTTTAAAAATTGCAGGAGGAAATATAAGAAAAAAAATAAAAAAAGTCCAGTCAACCAAAACTTTCATGACCCTCATGCAGTACCTCCATAGACCCCTAGGGGTCATGGACTCCCTGTTGAAGACCTCTGACCTATAACATTTAAAACCATTGTTTGCTTTAATCTTGTATATAATGTATATCTTAATTTTTATATTTTTTCAGATTTTTAAATGATTAATAAATCTGAACAGATTACAGGAAAATTTAAGTGAGCATGTGGGATTAGGATTGATTTATTTAAGATAACTAGAGGAAGAACAACAAACTATGAGTCAATTTGAATTCAGATGAGCTGAGTGATAACAGAGGAGCAGGATGACGCATCAAGAACATTAAATCAAGTATGAGACCTGGAGGATGATCCATTTTTCTTGATTAATTTGATGATAAACTGCGAAAGATCAAAATTTATTTTTTTTTGGTAGATTTGTTGTGTGGACACAGTTTAGTGCGTCAATCAGTCTAAAACACCTCCTGTATCGGTCACGTGATTTTCTTGAGACAGTATGCGCCCCAACACATGGTTTTAATGTTAGAGCTTGACGCGTGCGCAGCCGCATCGGCGTTGGTTGACCCATCACTACTGTGACTAGGGGTGTAAATCACACCTATCATGGCGATTTGATTCAGTATCGATTTCCTGACCCAGCGATTCGATTGTTTTCGATACTCAGGAATAAACCACGATACGATTAGATTAATTGGTTCTACTTTTTTTTATTTTTATTTTTTTTACACCTTACAGGTGAGACAATGTTTCAAATTTGAAATTAATCAATGAAAGCTGCAATAACGTTACGCCTTTTTTTTTTTTTTTGAAACAAAAGCAAATAACAGAATTAGAAAAGTTGCACTCCACTTATTCCTATTAAAACCTCATTCACTGAAATAATAATGCCCCTGCATTATAGATTCTGAAAAGCCTCGCATCAAAAAATACTGCACTAAATCAGTGCAATGAGTGCAATGCAATACCTCGGCTCCAGACGTCCTGCCCCCTCCATAGACGC